GAACACAGAAGGTTGTTCACCCAGGTGGAGCAGACGGAGCTGCCAGTCCAGTGGCTGGACATTGTGATATGTCGCCTGGCCTCCGAAGAGGGCCGACTGCATATAGTAAGGTGGGTACTGACCGTAGACCTGAGAAGGTACATATGGTGCAGTCCCGATCATCTGAGGGCCAGAGTGGACGGTATTACCGCCTATCTGACTCTCATGCAAGGAAAGTGCATTCCCTGCAGAAGTATTGATAAAGCTGTCTGGAAAATTTGATGTAGAAGCCGACTCAAACAACTGTTGATTTCTCTTCCGGTTGATAATCTCCCGGGCATCAAGAGTTGATTTTTTTACTTCCTACCGGCTGCTGGGTCCGGCGGGTATTGTTGGTATTCCTCTTAGGTAGAAGAATTTTGGACCAATCAATGGTCCCGGCTGCCTTCTCTTTTGGATGAGGAGTGGGCTGCCGATCTCTGACTGACTTCCCCTTTTCCAAAGGAGTCTTCTTGGCCGTCTGACCCCTACTTGGGCCAGCCCGGCTCTTAGTGATCAGTTCTTTAATTTCACCCTTGAAACTTGTCATGAATCTCATGAGTTCGTCTCGGGTGACAGGTGCTGATCCAGCTGCCGTATGGGTTTCCCCTTCCGGCTGCCCAGGGGGTCGATTTGCACCCGCCTGGGAGACACCCCGCTCCAGAGTCTCTCTGGGCCGAATGCACTTGGTTATCAGAGAGCCATCATCGACTGTATAGATTTCGACCAGAGGATCTTTATCCTCATGGTCTGTAAAAACTTCTGGATCATCGCCCAGACGGTTAGGAGGTGGTACAAACTCTTGAACCATCTTCGAGGTACTCTCCCCACAAACGGCGCCAAATGTTTTGGGTGTTTTTGTCCCTCGGGAGAGTTACAACATAAAGACTAGTCTGGTGCGGCCTGTACCTGCAAAACAAACGGAGACACTGGTTGGGTGGTGTTCCGCCTCCGACGCACAAGTTAGTAACTTGAAGGGAGAGAAAAAGGTGCGGAAATCTAGGTGGGTATCTGCTCGGATTCCAAGCTCAGATGTCTCTATCACAGGGACATTTTGTAATAAATGGTAAAGCGTGCCCTCCAAAAGAGGGGAATGGAGCTGACACGTGTCATCCTCTGATTAGACCACGTGGCGGGGTAAAATTACCCTAAACACTCCCCATGCACTTTTTTTTTCTCTTTTTTTTTTTCTTTAATTACAAAGTAAGTAATTAAAGCTTCCATATTTTCGCTCTCAATATTTTGCTCATTTTTTTTCTCATATTTTTTTCTCATTTTTTTTGACAACAAACACTTTCTTTTTGGTTTATTATAAGTCTATATTTTTTTTATTTTTTTTGAAAAAAAAAATCACTATCAATGCTTTTTTTTTTTCCCCCAAATAATTTTCCTCTTTCTTGACATTTAAATAGATAAGATAAAATTGACTTCCAGCAAATTTTGATTCTTTTCCAAATTACTGTTTACTTTCTTGACATTCATTCTAAAATACATTACATAAAAATAACTTCCATTAAGTTTTGTTCAACAATAATAATAGTATGAAATATATATAATAAATATATATAGATTATTCGTCCGTGAAGAAAATTAGTAATATCAGATAAATTTGACTAATTTTATTTTAGGTTATTTTAGATTTTAACACCTCACAAAAACACGAAAATTGATTTTAATACCCCCATAAAAAAAATTGATTTTAACACCAGATAAATTTCCAAAAAATTGGTATTACCACCACTTAACGGGTTTCCATCCAAAATTTCCGTTAAGTGTGGCCCACATTAACACGTGTCAGCATTTTATTTGTTAAAAAAAAGAGAAATTAAAAAAAAAAAGAAAAAAAATAAAAACCTAAAACTACCCAGCCACCACCACAGCACCACCCCTGCGCCACCGCCGCCTCCCCCCAACTCACCACAACCCTCCTCGAAACCACCACCCGTGTCGCACCACCACCCCCAACCCACCTGAACACCCCCCCTCCCTTTCCCGCAACCGTAACGCCCCCAAAAACCACCAAACCTAAAACCCTCGTCCCCCTAAACGGCCACGAATCCAGCCTTAAAAGGCCGAAATCGGCCGGTTAAGGCCACTAATCCCTAAAACCGGCCAATTTCGGCCATTTTTGGCCAAATTCGTGGTCGGTTTGGGGAACAAGGGTTTTGGGTTTGGTGGTTTTTGGGGGCGATACGGTTGCGAGAAAGGGAGGGGGAGGGTTCAGGTGGGTTGGGGGTGGTGGTGCGACACGGGTGGTGGTTTCGTGGAGGGATGTGGTGAGTTGGGGGAAGTCGGCGGTGGCGCGGGGGTGGTGCTGTGGTGGTGGCTGGGTAGTTTTAGGTTTTTATTCTTTTTCTTTTTTTTTGGCCAATAATAACACGACACGTGGCTTATGGACCCACTTAACGGAGTCCTAAACAGAATCAGATAAGTGGTGGTAATATCAAATATTTAGAAATTTATCTGGTGTTAAAATCCATTTTTTTTATGGGGGTGTTAAAATCAATTTTTGCGTTTTTGTGAGGTGTTAAAATCTAAAATTTCCTTTATTTTATTGTAATATGAAATATATATATTTTGATAGCTATTATGTTGTACATGCATAATTTTATCCGCAATAATAACTCATAGCAAAATGTATAGATAGTTGAAATTTAACTTGATGTGTTATCACCATCTTAATTATGCAAAATCACAATTATGCAAAAACTTTAAATTGATGTGTTATTACCATCTTAATTAAATTTAGTTTGAGTTTCATGTTCATAGGTGTATATTGGTTGATTCGTCCCTTTAATTTTTTTGCTATGCGTTTAGTGCTACCCCTAGTCCAGAATCCTGGATCCGCCACTGGTTGCAGAGGTTAGTTTGTTTTTTTAAAACTACTCAATATGTAGGTATAATAAGGGGTTACTCTATCAGTATTATAAGAGTTGTTTCATTTTTTACAAGTGACCACATAATGTGACCAACCGCATAGAAACTGCACTTCAAAACTAATTTTATAAATATCGTAACCAAACGTAAAGAGGAAATAATTTTTTTTAAAAAAATAGTAAAAGTGGAACAACTAATGAAAACTGAAGGGAGTAAAAATTACTCTCTTCATCCCTTTATTATATGCCCATTTTTTTTTTATTTTTTTTTTACGAAAATTAAGGAGAATATGACATGTTCTCATTGATTGAAGTGAGCTGAACTGAACTGAACTTATTAGAGCTGAACTGAACTGAACTGAACCTGAAATGAAATGAAAATTTTATAAGAGAAGGAAATTAGGAGATGAGCTAAACTGAACTGAACTGAACTTATTAGAGCTGAACTGAATTGAAAATAATCGTATGAGAACAAGCCCTAAGTGTATATTACATATTGGAAATATAATTTTTTTTTTCTGAGAAAATATATTGGAAAGATAAAAAGTAGATAATATTTTATGAGAAAGATAAAAAGTAAGTAAAAGTATATATGTATTTTATTATATGGAAAATGTTAAAAAAATATTTAATAGCAGAGAAATTTATGGTTGTATAAGAGAATATATGAGAATTGTAAAAAATTGTAGTCCAACTGTTTCATAATATTTGCAATACTTTCATTTAACATCCGTTTCATAATAATTGCAACACTTTCTTATTTGGTATTTCGTAGTGACGTATTACAATATTATTTTGTTATTTTTAATTTCTCTCGTACCAATCCCACTTACACTTTTTTAATCATTATTTCTCTCTCCTAAAAACAATTAAATGTATCTCTACGAATTATACTATAGAGTATTTCGTATTTTATAAAATTCACTTTTGCACCCTACTAAGTTTGTGCATGACCTAATGTAACGATTATTATAAAATAGAGGACGTATGGATTATATAGAATTATTTGATATTTTTATAAACAATCACAATATTTTCTGTCCGCTAAAATGAAAAACATACATGAGGGCCTGTTCAGAGTTGAACTAATCTGAACTGAGTTGAACTAATCTGAACTGAATTGAACCGATTGAAGTTAAATTTAACTGAATTAAACTGAATAGAGCTTAAATGAATTGTTTATGAGAGAAGGAAATTTGAAGTTGAATTGAAATAAACTAAACTGAATTGATTGGAGCTGAATTAAACTAAATTGAAATTAAGCCGAAAATAATAGACTTGTAGTAAAGGGATAAAGGGAGTAGAAATATACTTCACTTCATAGAATCATAGGTGGATTTTAGGATGACTAAGGGGGGATGGGTAGAGGCTAGAGGACTAATAAAACCAATAAAAAAAATAAAATAATTATGATACACTTGTAAGAAACAATATAAAATTAAGAAATAATAAAAAAATTATAGAAAAGGAAAACAATGTTGGTATAGTTGGGTTGGCGCTGATGAGGTGAACAGTAAAGGTCCAGGACTCCAGGTAAGGTTTCTGCAATCCTTCGTTGTTTTTGTTTGCCAATTGGATTCATTTTTATAATAATAAAATTAATTCATTATTACATAGCCTAAACATTTTAGCATTTATTGTCAAATATATTCCATTTTTCCTAATTTATACCCGTACTCCATATTTTGTACTCCGTATTAACATGATAAAAATACGTCTGTACAATGGTACGTGTGTAATTAATTTTTTGTTATACGGTTATGTCTAATTATGTTTCAGATAAAAAAAGTTATTGATAGTGTCAAATGTTAAATCAAGTCTAAAACACAATTTTTTTCTTTTTTATTTAAAGAATTCATGACAAAATATAAGTCCATCTATATTACGGAGTACTAATATTAAAGTTTTCTACTACATATCATACTATTATATGAAATACTTAAGTACACACATTATTTTAAAATACGAAGTAAATATATAAATAGTGTCAAAAGTTAATACGACGAGTATTAAAAAAAACCGAGAGAGTAAAAAATACAGTAGTTGAAGAGAGAAAATAACAGTAGGAGGGACTTAATTACAAAAGCTTAGAGTTTCACTCTTGTGTTCTCTTCTTTCTCTCTCCTTGGCAATTGGCACACAGTAGAGAGAGAAAGAGAAAAAGCTAGAGAGAGAAAGTTAGAGAGAGAAAGAAGATGGAGAATCATGAAGGAGGAGAGAGAGATGAAGAAGTGATGGGGTCAACTTTGACCATGGAGAAAGTCAAGGCTGCTAAGAAGTTTATCGAGAATCACTATCGAGCTCAGATGAAGAACATTCAAGAACGAAAAGAGAGGTTTTAATTCTTAATTCTTAATTTTTTGTAAATTTATTTTTAGATTTAATTTCATTTGATTTTTACGTGTTAATTTCAAGTTCATTTGTACTGATTTAGATCTCAATTGATTATATGATTTTTAGAAAAAAATATTTTAGCGGATTTTTTTCGAGTTTTTTTTGATGTTTTTATTTAAGGAATTGACTTTTGTTTGATTAATTGAGTGAGTGATTGATTTGGATGAGAATCAGAGAATTGCGACATTGTGTGTGAGTTGATGACAGTGTTTTAGGTGGAGTAGAAATGGGTTGAAGTTAGGGGTTTTGGCGTAAAATTCAATTTATGGCTTTAGATTGCAGAATTGGATTGAGTTAGATAGTTGAATGCTGAATTAATATATCGAAAATCGAGTTGTGATAAATGAATGCGATCTCAGTTGGAGTTAGTGGAGAAAATGAGTGATTATATGAAACAAATTTTTAGTATTGCCTGTTTCAACTGCTATGTGTGATTGAAATCAGTGAAAAAGTGAAAATTTGCTCTCGAGGGTGATGAGGAGTGTCGATACTCGATTATTTGAGGTGTAGAAAGAATTGGTGGAGGGGAAGGGGGATGGGAATGAGTTATCATTGTTTGTTCTGTTTTCGAGATCTATGTTGAGAAACGGGTGGAATTGGTTGTATAAGTGGACCAACTTTACTTGATAAGTTTTGAGATTTGAAGGAATTTGGTAGATCTACCTTTAGGCTGGTAGTGCAGGGAAATGACTTTGATTTTATTTGGGATTATTGAAGTATTAGAGATTTAGACTTTGTCTCTTTCAACTGTTATGTGTGATTGTAATTAGTGGGTGAAAAGATGGTTTATTTTTTTAGAGAATGTGATTATATTATGTTATGTTAAGAGATTTGAAGATTCATTTTAGTGTATTAAGGGATTTTTGAGATGAGGGTGATTAAGATTACATTCTACTAGGGCATTGAATTGAAGGAGGAAGGCTTGGAACCTGTTGCATATGCGTTGAAACAGCCACTTTTCTGTTCTTTTCACTATTGTCACCTTTCAATGATATAATTCACCTGACGTAGATGTAATGAATGAAGTCTGATGTGGGTTCTTTAATGATCCAAAGATGCTTCTTAGCTTCCCTTGCAGGTTTCTTTATCAAGTTCTTATAAGGCAGGTAAAGTTGTGTTCTCGTAAATGTCTTCACTATATGTCCTTTTTGATGTTATTCTACTTAACATCTTATAAGGCAGGTTTCTTGCCATCTTGGATTGCATGAGCCGTGAATTTTAGTAAATGGTGAAAATTTTCCCTCTATTTTTCTAGAGTTCAACTTCAGAAACTTATGCATGTTTTAATTTAATATATTAATAAGATAAATTGCACATGACATTCATATATAGAATCTAGGTTTTTTTTTGGAATTATTTACATTATGAATATTGCTTATTAAGCTTGTTCTTATCATGAGTTAAAAGGACCTAGATTAAGCTTGGTTTTATATGTACACATTATGTGGAGGTGAAAGAATGGATAAGGTAGCTTAATTGAACATTCCATCTAATCAAGTCCTCTTATTGGATAATGGCCTAGTTTTGGTTTGGTGGGGAAGAGAGGAAGAGGAGGTTAGTTTAATATACACTTAGCATGGCTTTTTGGTCGAATGATTATGATCATTTTGTTGGGTTCCCCTTGGTCTTTATCTGTCTCACCAACTTTTCTATTTTGCTTTTTTTGGACTTATTATGTATATGCCGGCATTCACTAGCCGTTATTATTCTTTTTGGAACTTTTCTATTGAAGAAGCGGTTTTTTCTCCCAACATTTAGTTTTCATGTATGCCATTTATCCCGTTATAGTATTTCTCTTTTATTGTCTAGTGTTAGTTCTTTTGCAAAAAAGAAACCATAGCAAAATGTTGTACTTGGATTAGACTATCTTAATTACTTTCAGATAATCAGATAGGATCTCACTTATTCTTTGTGATATTTTCTTTTAAAGTTTGCTCTTTATGATGTTCTCTTATGTTATAAATATTATCGTGACCCTTCTGCATCCTTTTGCTTAAATAGCGGTGACAATCTCCATTGTGCTTCCTTATCAAACAACCCATAATGTATTTGATAATTTTAGCCATTATATTGACTTGCTCATAACATCTTCTATAAATGGGATGAGTTTTCTTGATTCATGGTTCTGATAAACTTTGTTTATTTCTTTGATTTTTCTCTTAAAATGAAAGTGTTATCTGGCTGGTTCATGATCAGCAGCAGTACTTTGTGCTCATTTCATTTGTTTTCGGATTAGGTGGAAAAACATCACACTAATGACTGTTATTATTCTGGTGCATTATATTAATTTTGGGTTAGATTGTGCCTTTTAAGTGGCTTAAATGCTTACTACCTTATTGTTGTAGACGCTGGGTTCTAGAAAAACAGCTAGCTTCTTCGGACGTGCCCAAAGAAGAACAAATGAGCTTGATTAAAGATTTGGAGCGAAAAGAGACAGAGTTTATGCGACTGAAAAGGAATAGGATATGCGTGAATGACTTTGAACTATTGACCATCATTGGGAGAGGAGCTTATGGTGAGGTGAGTGTCGATAGTGTTATGTTGATGATGCATTTGATGTATTTTTCCTCTCATATCCTGGTTGTGCTGGTGATCTGCATGCAGTGCTCATCCTTTTTGGCATTTTGCAAATCTGCATTTGAAGTCCCCCCACCCCACCCCAATCCTCCAAATAATAAGTGGATTTATTATTGTTATCAGATTTAAATCTAAAGTGTCCTGTAAAACCTTAGTTGAAGGGGTTTGTTTAGGATCTGTTTGATTAGAACCATCTATTTGTTTTATTTGCTGTAGAACATTTCTTACTGTGCTCTTTTGCGACCTTGTCAAGCTGCGTAATGTAAGAATCTGAAAAGCAAGTATTTTGAAGTAAACTGTTGCTGCCTTGTTTGTTAACTTGCTTAGTACCCTTCGAGGCTGAGTGTTTATTGTTTTTGTGCTATTCCTCCTGATCTATACAGTTATGACACTGCCTTGCAATCTTTCTGGTCATTGCCTTTTTAACTTGCCTGGTAAAACCCCCCACCCTAAAGGAAATAAAAAGAAGAAAAAATAAATCAACTATTTTGAAGTACCTTTGCTGTTGCCAGGTGGAATAATTCATTCACCTCGGTCAGCTCTTCTTTCATCTGGTCTCTCCTTGTTTTCAAATAGTTATCCCATTCCTTTTTAAAGCCCGATCTCTCATCAAGAAGAGCCGGGTGTGTGCTTCACTTATGATGAGATTCACAGACTAGTAGATCCATTACATCTTCCTCTGTTTGTTTTCAGATGCAGCACTTTTATTTGCACACTTGCTGATGCATGACTTCAACCATAAATACATTATCTTTAGTTACTATACAGAAAAATGTATAATAATTTGATATTTTGAAAGTTTAAAAATGAGACGAATCTAACAAGATCCCACATGAATGTTCACTTTATAATAAATCACCAAAAATAGTCAAAGTAAGATGTGTAAATAGTATAAAATGCAAAATGCTGCATAGTGCATTCATAACTGAGGAGGTATTTGTCAAGGCATTGGGAACTGTGTTGGCTGTTGTAAGTAAATCTTAAATTGAGTCATTATTAATGAGCTATATGTTCTGTGATTCTGAGCTAACTAGCATTCTTTTTTGGCTGAATTTGACCCAGAGGCCCAAAGCCACTGATTTGCTCCTGCATTAATGTACTTTTGGTTATTGATATTCCGTTTCATGTTTTTTGCCTATTTAGAAAACTTCTGTTGCCTTACAGATAAAGAATTATAATGTTATTACATTATTCATACTGTTTTAATTCTTCATTCTGCAGGTCCAACTGTGCCGAGAAAAGAAATCTGGAAATATATATGCCATGAAAAAGTTGAAGAAATCTGAAATGCTTAGTCGAGGACAGGTACTATTTTACATATGTTGATTTTGATGCAAGTCCTTAAAGTTTATCCTTGAATTGGGAATACATGTTTCCTAAGATGTATATTTGAGCTAAATAGTTCGCTCGTGTTGTGTATGTTGTACACTTTTACTACTTGATCTCATCAAAACATCATTAGATATGCAAAAATTGTAATATTTTCCCCTAATCTATCACTAGTGTTCTACATTCTTTAATTGGATGTTGAGGCTGTCTCCAATTTTATAAATGGTGCTAATGTCTGAAATCTAAATCTCTTCATTTGTTTTGCATTTTTAGATTTACAGGACTGATACTATTTTCTTAGTGGGGCTATTGAAAAAATTGATTTTTTTTTGGTGTTCCACCCGGTTCACCCTTTGGGCTAATCTGGATTCGGGGATCAGTTCTTGGTGGTTAGGTTCTAGTTCCCTCCCAATTGTTGTTGCGGGGGATCAAACACAGGTTCTCCCTACTAAGTGTAGTTCCAAACACCACTACACCAAAATCCAATTGGTATTGAAAAAATTGATGGTATAATGGCCCTATAACACTGGAAATATCAGCTTGTGGTGGTTGCCACTTTCCTCATCTATCGCCAGTTCTTGCCTCCAATTGTTTTTGACTGGACTCTGGATCATGGCAAAGAATTAGTTTCATCTACTGATATTACTGATGTGTAATTTGTTCTTATTAACATTTCATCTTTTCTGTTCACGCATCATGCTCAATGTTTTCCATGCGGGGTTGCATTTTCTTATACATGACTTCTTGAACTGAATCACCTCTGTAAAAGATATCCATTTACAATGAGAATCCAGAATTTTTTTTTTGCCCCTGATATATATTTTTTTCCCTGAATACTGATTTCCATGTAGTGTGAATTCTGATTTAATGGACTAGTAGAGAAGTTTGTTTCACCTCAAATTCTTTTTCTTTCCTAGGTGGAACACGTTAGAGCTGAAAGGAACTTGCTTGCAGAAGTTGACAGTCACTGCATTGTAAAACTGTATTACTCCTTTCAAGATGCTGAATATTTGTATCTAATTATGGAATATCTGCCTGGCGGTGACATGATGACCCTTCTGATGAGGGAAGATATCTTAACTGAAAAGGTTGCAAAATTTTACATAGCACAGAGTGTCTTGGCAATAGAATCTATTCACAAGCACCACTATATCCACAGGTTTGAATTGCATCATTTTCTGAGATATGAAGCTCAAAATCCATCATCTTTATTGATAATCAATTTTAATGCTTGTATTATTTTGTGAATAGCTGCTGAAGTTATTTTTACTGAACTCTTTATCCAGGGACATTAAACCAGACAACCTTCTTCTTGATAAGAGTGGTCATATGAAACTGTCAGATTTTGGCCTTTGTAAACCTCTTGATTGTGCTACTTTGTCTACTATCCGAGAAAATGAATCCATGGATGACGCTTCGAAAGATTCAATGGATATAGATGCTACCCTTCCTGATGCTGGTAATGGTCACAGTTGGAGAAGTGCTCGTGAGCAACTTCAGCATTGGCAAAGGAATAGGAGAAAGTTGGTAAGCTATGTGCATCCATTTCCAGGAATATTCTGATGGTGGTTGCTTGAGTCTGAGGAGTAGTTTCCTTATATTTTTTTGGTGCAATGGAATAGTTACCATATTAATTATGAATGTTATCAATCTTCCTGTAACCAATACTAAAAGGTCATATGTAGTGGCCAATAGGCTCCGACATCCAAATAATAATTGCTGAAATCTTTTCTATCTATAGTGCTTCATTGCACAACTTATATGAAAAATGCAGTTTTTCTTTCTGCATAGATTTATACAAGCTTCTTGGATGATGATATGTGACTTAGAAAGTTCTTAAGGGTTTCTTTGAGAATGCTTCAACTTGCTAGAAATAAAATGCTTTTATTGTTGTAGTGTTTTGGGTTCCAAAATTAATGTGAGGAGCCTCTTTGCTTGTAAACATAGGCATGCAGTTGTTTATCTAAATTGGGTCATATTGTACATTTTCTCTCTGTGGAGCAGATGTTCGTGCTCAATGGTTTTAAAATCTTAATTAGTCAATTAATATATTGCTTGTTGCATACTTGCATGTACGGTAGGCAATCTATAATCTACTGGTAGATGTTGTTGCATCGATGATTGAAAGGCATAGTGCTGATGTATGCTGATGTGAATTTCTGAGTTTACATGCTACTGCCAAATATTTTTTTTTTATAATTTATTTTTGGGTGAAATTCAACAGGCATTTTCAACTGTGGGTACCCCTGATTATATTGCTCCTGAAGTTTTACTGAAGAAAGGATATGGAATGGAATGTGACTGGTATGATTTATCATCTAATTCATTAAATGTTAGGGATGGTTGCATTAAAATATTACATTGCAATTATCATGAGTGTTTATGTCTTTATGATATGACGTAAATCATTGAAGTTTCAAACATGTGATAACTATTTTTTCGTTGTTAGAATAGAGTACCCAGGACCATGTTGCGTTGCCAACTGCTCATTTGTTCAAAATCAATACTCTAGTTTTGTATATTATGATAATGTCACTGCCATAATTTTTCGGGCAACCAGCATACCTAGATTAAGTTATTGCCATGAAAAATTTATGTACCTTTGTGTGAATAAATAACGGGTCAACTAAAACAATAAAAAAAGAAATTCAATAACACCCCCCCCCAATGTGCCCTGTATTCATATTAACCCTATCTGCAGTTACTTTATTTGGACTTAGTGAATAATAGATAAATGAAGATTTAGTCCATATTTGTATGTTGGGAATACTGAATTTTCTAGCTGTACGCCTGTACATCTTCTGAATTTTTAAGCAATCAAAGGAGTCCAAGTTTTCAATCTTTGGCATGTAGATCTTTCATTCATGGGGCTCAATCTCCAAAATGTAAATTATGCACTTATGGAAGGGTTAATGTAATTTGAGAATGAAAAGTCTATAATTGGTTAAAAACCATAGGGAACTTAATTACATGAGACTACTGAGATTGAAGCTGCAGATGCCCAGTTGCCCACAGCCACATAATGTGCATGCTCTAGCTATCCTGCACTGTCTGAATTCCAGAACAAAGCCTGTTTCTTTGCTGGTACTGATCGAGCTGACCTCATCTGGCTATAATGTGTAGTGTTTCTACTGTCAATAATCTCCTGACTGCCTCATTAACTATGTTAATTCATTGACATAATGTTAAAAGCCTGGAAGAGCTCTTAAGTTTGATACTTGTATCACCAACTTAACAAGGACATACTTCGTATATTTCTACATAAGTAATATAATTGCTAGAACTTTGAGTTTGTTTATGATGAATAATTGTCATATTCATGTATATCTCTATATAAAGTATACCTATGAACTGCTTGATATGGTTGGTGTTTGCAAAATGAGGGTATATCTTATATGGTCTGCTTTTGTTTGTCCGCCATGCTTATCCGTTAAGATTCTATGCAGGTGGTCATTAGGTGCAATCATGTACGAAATGCTAGTTGGTTATCCTCCTTTTTACTCTGATGATCCAATAACAACATGCAGAAAGGTATGCTTTACTTTTATTTTAGATGTGTTGAAACGACTATAGATCATTGTTAACTACCCCGTAGCTGATAATGCTTTTTTCATGTGCCAAGTTCTAGAAAATCTTGAGTACATGTTTAAGTTTATGGGGAAATGCACCACTTATGCACGTAGATAATTCCACTTAGCGAATTCATTGGTATCTGGTCAGTATGAGTAGGACATTGCTTTTTTTCTACCTAATGCAATCTCTGAACATGTGTGATAGATTGTACACTGGAGGCACTATCTAAAATTTCCCGAGGATGCAAAGTTGACATTTGAGGCAAAAGATCTTATTTGTAAGTTGCTTTGTGATGTTGATCATCGATTAGGCACTGGAGGGGCAGAGCAAATTAAGGTGTGATACTGGTTGTAACCTCGTTAAATGTCCTTATCTTTGACCTTCAGGTTTTGTTATTCTCTAAAGTTTATAAGCATTGTCAGGCACATCCTTGGTTTAAAGATGTTGAGTGGGATAGATTATATGAGATGGAGGCAGCTTATAAGCCACAAGTTAATGGGGAGCTGGATACTCAGAACTTTATGAAATTTGATGAGGTATGCCTATTTCTATCACTAACTTCTTTATTTTGACAAAAGTTAATCCCTTTTGACTTCGATTTTAATCTAAAAGGCCAAGTCAGAATTTTCTTGCTTGTAAAACCTTTTAGCAAGTAGTATAGAAATTGGGGAAAAAAAAACTCATTGCAATGAGCAGCCACCATCCTTGTATTTGATATGCTAACTTATAGATGAACTTATAGCACATTATCATGTATAACTGTGGTGTTTCTCTCTTTAGTGAACAGGCTTAAGGGATGGGTACTGGGTACCATGGGGATAGCATTGTAATACTGTAAGAGAGTAGCATAAGGGAAAAGGTTGAGAGTTAGCTAGATTCCTTGTAGGGGGAGGAAACCAGAAATACTATTAATAGAGGAGTAGGGAGAGAAAATTATGGAAAAAATTTGAAGTTTTTTTAGGTTTGTTTTTATTTTGGTAGAGATCATGCCTCTTGATGATTGAAGATTGTATCAATATTCTCTGATGAATCATATCTCTATCGTTTATTATTTCTCAAGTTTCCAGCATTTAGCACTGGGTTATGGAAAACCTTCTGATTTTTTTCCGTCCCATCCCTAAATAATATAACAAGATTATATGCTACACATCTTTTCAATTTTCTAGTTCTTGGCACTTTCTTGCGAGAAGACCTTTTGTGTGTTTTTTATTTCCTTCTAAGTCTAACTAAAGGCTCAAATGTATTCAGTGTACACACATGCACACACACACAAGCACACAAGTGCGCGCATCTGGTTGCATACTATAGCGCTGAATGCATCTTTATGAGTTCTTCTTTGTTTTCAGGCAAACAATGCAACACCATCAAGATCTGGATCAGGACCTTCAAGAAAGGTAGCTTACTCTGACAGCATTATGTATTGATTTTCCTATATGATTACAGAAAAAGAGAGCTTTTGTATTTTTATTCAACCTGACACTCTCTGTACAACATTATCGGCCTATTGTTTAGTTTTGGGTGGTGTGTTTGTGCATAGATTTTGCAGCTTTAACTGCTGAAGAAAGTAGAGCCGCTATCTCAACAAGACTTGCGAATCATTTTTGCAGAAGGATAACAATAAGAGAACAACAGAATAATAATGTTCCCTTTGTCTTCAAATTTAAATCTCATTTTCCTTTTGCACACGTTTTTTCCAAGGTGATTTAAAAAAAATATAGTGGGGTTTGGTTGATTAAATCTAATGGTTTTTGGTTGGTTAAAAGTGAATAAAAAATAAAAGAGAGATAGTGGGGTTTGGTTGATTACAATGAATAAAAAAATTAGATAGTGAGGTTTGGATGATAGGTGAAGGTGATTGATTGAAAGAGAATAAATAGTTTGTGAAAGTGAAAAATAAAATTGGTGAAAGGAAATGTGATTTTATTTAGGGACAAGGTGAAATGAGACTCTTATTTAGGGTAAATGAGACTTTTGTTTGAGGAAGGAGGGATTAGTCATCTTAAAAATATAATTGTGCAATGAAAGGTTATAAATTTAATGAAAATTGTCTGGTTGGTAAGGAAATGCCACGGTAGCTATATCTTTGTGAAAGTAACCATATGAGGACAGTGGGAACACATCAATGAGGGCTAGAAAACTTCAAATCTTGATAAATTAAATTTAACTGTCAGCACTTAGCAAAAGTATATTGGCTATATGGATTTTGTTCACTGTAACATGTGCAGTCATTGTGATGCCTCTTATGAAGCCTATAAGGTATGGCTATGAATAATAGGGTAGGTCAGAGTTTGGGCCTTGCTTTTGTAAGGTAAGTGAAAGTATGTGAAAAAGCTAGTAGAAGAATTCATTGATAAGCTCCGTGAAGCTTCTAATATATGAATTGTATATAGTTTAACACTTGGCTCATGTTCTTCTAGTGTGTTGAATTCCTAGTTTTACAATTGTAACTCTTTGAACTGAGAACTTTGCTAATGTTGACTCTACCAACTGCCAATTACCAACCTTATTGAAAGACACAAAATTTTTATTCTCCTAGTGTGTGGGCTAATTTGTTCCAAATCATGATAAAACTTGAATTTGCTTGCATGAAACACTGCTCCTTGTATTTTGGACGGTCGGTTGTACATCATAAAATTTCTACAAAACTGGAATATGCTAATAGGGAATGGAGTACCAACCCCATCACACACACACACACACACACACACAAGATTTAACCTAAAGTGATAAGGAATTTATTGGCTGTATGCATATTGGAAGCAGGTGGGGTTTATGAGTGTAGTCATTGCCCTTTGTCTTACCGTCTAGGAACAGTTCTATAAAGATGCAAGTCATGTAACTATTCCAAGAGAGCAATAATTAGTGGAAGATGGACTATTTGTTAGATTGTTCGTCTCTTGCTGTGGACACTGAAAGAATAAAGTTCAAAAAATGCATGGAGAAGATGAAATTAGTTTTGTTGGCAATTTCATCTTTTTTCACTCTAATTAGTTATACATTCTATTGATAAATTCAATCAATCTATTGTTCCTTCTGTTCACTTCTTTGGTGTGTGATGTAATTTTCAGTTTTCACCAGCAGTGTTTATTGTTTATATAACAACACCTTTGTTCTTGTTTCCATCCTTATTTTCTCTGTGTAGACATATTTTTTCTCTAACCTGGTTTCAAATCATGCTTAATTTATTATTTTTGTTTATCCTCCCTACACCATTGCAGATGTTGACATCAAAAGATCTAAGTTTTGTGGGATATACGTACAAAAACTTCGATGCTGTTAAGGGGCTACATCATTCTTATGGTATTTTTTTTTTTTCATCCCTAGCTCATGATGCTATGATTTTCTAGTAGATATTGCATATGCTTACTTATTCAATACCTTTGTTGTGTCATGTGTGGATGTTGCAAGGGTCTATACTGTTTGCACTCTGTGCAGATATTCAGGGAGAATATGAATATTTTTGCATAGGTATCTGACTTCTCATACATGAGATACCTTGCCTGAGCTGGTGCAAGAACTGAGATTCCTAAGGCTTAAGTATTGAGGGAAGGGAAGCGGGAGGGGGAGGAAAAGGGAGACACCCTTAACAAAATGTCATTCATCTTAATTCTCAGTCATCATACACTCAGTCTTTCTCTCTGCTTCTCCATCTAACACCATACCCACATCAAAACAACAATATAATTAGAGGTTCAGCATGGTGTTTCACTTAATGTGCCCTTTATGTCTTCCTCCATTAGCAGCAGCAAGCTGCACTGATTTTTCTCCAGAACTGTCTTCCTCAGGGTCTTCCCTTTTTTAATTTGGAATTCCTTTCATTTAAAGTGTCTGCTATAGTTGGCGTTGTAGGCGAATTTAGTGATGTTTGGATATTTATATTTTGATGGAAAGGATAGAAATTCATGGCTACTTTTCTTTATTTTATATAGATGGGGGAAGGGTGTTAGGTTGGCTTTGTGGTTGCAGCAAGTTGTATATTAGGTTGGGCCAACAACAGTGCTTGTTTGTAGGAGGATATGGAGAAGGGACCGAGTTTTAGTTTTTTTTCCCCTTGTTTTCCCATTTTTCTGAGAAATTATTTTTTCAATATTTTAAAGAATTTAATAACTTAATTGCACCCTTGATGGAAAGGTCACAGTAATGCTAGTCAACATTGAATGTGCACATCGATATGGTGATATACCATGTACATTTGAAAGAAATTAGTTTACCAAATCTATTTTCAATAAACCAATGGAGGTGGGTAGAGGAGATGAAAGAGAGGAAAGAGGGAAAGGGCTCGCATAAATTTTGCAATTACATTCTGGACAATTGTTCGTTGTATGAAGTGAATCTGTTATCTTGCTAGAATAAGCTAAACTGGGGATACAGGCTGTGTGGACTAAGGTCATTTTGAGTAGTTTCTTCCTCATGATTGATTGCTAGTACTTGTCCATGGAAAATTCTTATATAATTTGGAAGGCTTATGCCATTTCTTGATTTGCTTTGGTATCACAGATCGTAAGGGAGGCAATTCACCTAAACGCCCGTCTCTGGATTCTATGTTCAGTAATAATTCTTCATCCTGATGACTATACCTAAACTTTGCTTTCATGTATTCTTTTTTATTTTTTTTAAATCTCCAATTACATGTTATGGCGTTTAACTTACCAAGATGTTTGCAGATGAAAATGGGATTGACTTTGCAACAAAGCATGCAGACGAAATGGATATACAGATGCTTACAACAGCTGACGATTGTATGTCCCAGTGAAGAATATGCGTGAAAAAAGTGGCAGTCTTGTAGAGTTTGTGGCATGAATGCGGGGCTTTACCAAAATGTGATGCTTTGTATTATTTGGCTTCTGAGCGTTCTGCAGCTTCACTGTCATTAAGATTTAAGTGTACAGCATTGAAAAACATCAGGTAGAGCCCGATGGCGGGTAGATTTGGCTGAAGTTGAATTTGATATCTAGAAGGGGTTTGTGTAATAGAGACTTTTGTCCCCCTCGTTCTTCATCTCTTTTTTGTTTAAATTTATTTTCTAATTTTCCCCCGTTATCTTTTGGCTAATTTGATTAGAAAAATATAAAAGTAGAATTTGGTCCTGGCTGCCCAGGTTGGCTAGTGTAGGGATTAGTGAAACGCCTTCTCTAGTGGCAGTTTCTGGTCGCTGTTTTTGAACTTTGTTTGGGGACTAGAAACAAACTTTGTAACATTTGTAACAAAATTATGATATTTTAATGGGGAACCTGGAAGTCTTAGTTGAGCTTCTAATTTACTATATAAATGTAATGTAAGGTGTTTGATACTTCTTTTTTCGTATGGCCTTTTTTTGGGGCATTTTATAAAAATATAGATTATTGTACAATTCATGTCATATTTTTTCATATGAATCCTTTGGTAGACAGTGGTGTAAACGGGATGAATAATTTTAGTCACGCATTGCTTGGTTTGAAGTAGTCTTGGACAAAATACGTTAAAAGAACTTGTGTTAGATGCTCATTTTTTTTTATATTATACTTCATCCTAATCAGCGGTTGGTCTGTTATATTTGTAGTTTTGTACTAATAAAATCTTGTCAATGCTTACCAAGTTGTTTTTCAACAATATGTTTTTTCAACATTAGTTTAGCAAATACCATTTCCTATAAAGCTCGATTACAATGTACCAGTATGGAAGTCGTTAAAGGGAAAGTTAATCCACCACCGTAACAATGTTTGGGATAATATACAATTAAGAGTTAACAATAATCCTTTTCAAGGGCAATAAGATTTATTGCCCAATATTCATGTGGAAAACGCTATAATTTTGGCAAATGTTTCTAGAAATTGTGCATAGAAAAAGATAACCCATGTATGTTCACAAAGATAGTGAAGGTGACCTTCAAGAGATAGCGAAGGATTAAATGATGGAAGACTAAGCCCCACAACAACAATCATGCATACGACTTTTACCGTAGCCACGTTTTAAAATTGTTTGTGTGATATAAAAACGAATACCAATGACATTGAAAACAATACTAACCTAGAGCTGTTAAAAATGTTGGTTACTAGAGTCATAAAAGACTCCAAGACTAAAGATTGAAAAATCCTCTTATAGATAAACCGTCATAACTAATACCGTACCACGTCAAGTAACAAAATCAAACCTTACCTATAATCAAAACCATGGAGTTAAAGCTAACCATAACGATTGTACTCGTATTAGTCGTATAACATTTCACTTAGGTTAAACGACTACAATTGCGTTGTTGCGCATAGACTAGCACGGTACTGGGTTGAGCCAAACTAGAGAAAACAAAAGGTCTTATGTTAAAGCAGCACATAACCCCAAAGGCCGAACCCTGATACTATCACCGGCGACACAAGCAGAGGAAAGGGCGGCGAAGATGGCGACGAGACTACATGTTGGTGGTTTAGGAGAGAGAGTGAAAGAGGAGGATCTCCGCAACACATTTTCTCATCTGGGTTCCATTCAAACTGTTGAGATTATTCGAACTAAAGGTCGTAGCTTTGCTTACATTAACTTTCTTCCTTCTTCAGAAAATTCCCTTGCCAAACTCTTCAGCACGGTATATCAATCATACCCCTCTTTTTTATATTTTTTTTCAATTTCTTTTCAATTATTTGTTGTTTTTTTTTTAGTGATGGGTGTTTTTGCTATATGGGGTTTTTTTGTTTTTGTGTTTATCGTTTGTTGTAAGTTGTATCTTTCATTATGATTTACTCTGCAATTATGTTGACTGGTAATTCTATTTTGATTCCCATTTTTGAATTTGATTGAAGAAATGTGTGTTGATAGTTTTTGTATGAATATAGCTTATGAATATCAATCAATTTTTGGGTGTTTTTCAAATTTGATTAGAGAAATGTGTGCAATAATTTGTACAATTAACAATTAATTTGGTTCCCTTTCGAATATGGTTTGGGAAATGTGTGATAGAATTTTCATGAAATAGTGTATGAATATTATTATTTTTTTCTTTTTTTTGATTCAGTTTATGAATATCAAGTAAAGTAAAGTAATTTTGGTGTGTCTTTCGAGTGATAGAATTTTCATGAAATAGTTTATGAATAGCAAGTAATTTTGGGGTATCTTTCGAATTTGATTGGGGAAATTTGTGAAATAATTTGTATGAATAACAATTTATTTGGTTGTCTTTCGAATTTGATTGGGGAAACATGCATTTCACTTTTTGTTTCCATTCGAATCTTAATCGTGACAAGTCGTTACTACTAGCAATGACTTCCTCTAGCTTCTTTGTGGCCCATACGAGTGCGAGATAAAGCTTTTCAAGTGTAGAAGATTCTTTCAATTGGCTAGAATCCGTTACTACTCTCAGGGAGAGGCGCGAGAGAATGGTTCCCTTATAAGTCTGATTTGCAGGTGAGCGAGATGCCGCTTCTTCCCCGTGGGGTTGGGGGGTCGCTTCCTTCTATTGTGTTAGGGGGTGTCCATTAATTTATTTATTATTGGATCATGCAGTCTCTTGAGATTAATTTCGAGTTTATTGATATTTAGTTTGTCCATTTTAATTTCTTCAACTGTTATTTTACACTATTTTCACTTTATCCTAGCACAGTTCTTTCTTGTTTTGCTCACATAAGCGCACTGATAATACCCGTCCCTTTTGATACATTTTCAGATGGTGATATTTTCGGCTTATGGGTATGGTCTTATATTTCATATAATTGTCCCTTTGTCTTGATTGAATTGCTTGATATTTTTGCACTCTTTTATCCCCTGTTTTGTTTGTAGATTCTGGGATGAAATTGCTTAGTTGTTTTGGAGCGATGGTTTTCAGTTGACCAAGGAATGAGGGATCAAGGAGGGGATGGTCAATTGATTGGACAATACATTTATGGCTTTTGTGTTGGTTTTCCAATTTACTGTAATCTGTTCCAATAGGGATGATGGCAAAAGGTTAGGAAGGGAAAGTATTCGATTCTATCTATTAAAAATAGTTTACCAACTGAGTAAAATCTGTTTGTTTTAGGATGTAGTACAATCATTCAGGCAATCTAGATTCAAGAAGGTCCTATTTTAGCACTATGATTAAATTTCAAAAATTATTAGGTGTCAAACTATAAAGATTTGGCTGAGTATATCTAAGGGACTTCAGATATAGTTTTGAAGGAGCTGCTCCCTTGTTTTTGATTGGCAAGCATTTTCTGGAGTTGAAGGCTGAGGCAAATTCCAATTTCTAGCTCATCATATTGTGCAAATATTTTTGAAAAGTGATTGACTTCCTTTGTGATTGTGCAGATTTTTGCTAATTTCCGTGCAATCGTGTGAATCCACATGCTATTGCATATTTTTTCTCATTGTCTCTAATTAACTTCAAATTGCTACTAGGATCCTATGTGATATAGTCATGTCACATAAATTGAAAGGAAAATGTACTGCACGACAAGTGTTGGGCCATGAAACATTGTCACATTCATAAGATTAATGTGTTGGAGATGCGTATGATGTAATAGACGTGTGGTCATACTAGAAAGGATCAGCTAGGAATGAGGTAATTGAAGAAAATAGGGGTTGCACAGCTTACACTTATTGAGTATAAGATGAGGGAAAATCACTTAAGGTTTTGGCATGTAAGATGGAGACCAAATGATGCAATGGTTAGGAGGCTCGAAGAGTGGCAAAGTGATGGGGTTGTAAGGGGTAGGGGACTTGGGGTAGACTGTAGAGTAAGGTTATTTAGGGCTACGTGAGTTTATTGGGAATTGAGGAATCTATGCATTGGATAGGGTGGAGTAGAAGGAGAGTATATTTGTCAAGTATAAGACATGATGTTTCTTATACTAACTGTTTATTCTCACAAATATTTTATTTATTCTTTGTCTATCTCCAAACCTTTTCATTTGTTCACTTTACATTAAATTACTTTTCAAATTTAATTTTCTTATCAATACTAATTATAATTGTATATGTTTTTATAATTTATTATAATTATAATTTCTCAGTTTTTATTTTATACCCTTCTTTTTTGAGATATAGTTGTTGACCTCATCTTTTTATTTTATTTATATTTTTTAAAACCATATTTTCTCTATTATAACTTGCCCTACTTTCAATTTTGTACTCTACTTTGTTTACAACCTCAACTAATGGGATCAAGGCTTTGGGATCAAGGCTATTTTGTACTCTACTTTGTTTTTATTTCGAATGATGATTCATGTTAGCCGACCAGATACTTTTGGGATCAAGGCTTTATTGTTTTTGTTGCTGTGCTGCTGCTTTTAGTAATGTAGGAAGTTAGTAATACTGAAGTATGGCTTTAGTGGGTTCATTTTAGAGAGAGGGGATTATGCTGAGTTTTATTCTGAGTTTTCTGTTAGTTTGTTTTACAGTAGGAGAAACAAGCCTCTTGAATGCTTCTATCCTTTATCATTGCTGTTTACTAGTACATCATCAATCAAATGTCATCTTCTACCTTAAGTCCCACATATCTTTTAATTTCTGTTCAAAGCTAAGTTGATTCTTAATAACATGTGCTGTTTTTGGGGTTAATGTGTATTTTATTAAGGGTGTATTTTATTAAGGGTCAATTGGAAATAAATTTTTTTGTTATTGCAAATATGTAGGCTAACAAGCAATAGACCCTTACCTATCCATCTATCACATTCCAAATCCCTCTTCAGTTGATTGCCTTCTTCTGTCTCTAATACTTGTGCACTCTACGCACTGTGCTGGTTAAGCCTTCTTCCAGGGATAAATCTTAGAAATTTCAGAAAGAGAGAGATAAATCTTAGAAATTTCAGAAAGAGAGAGATTGACCAATGCTTCTCAAAGATAGAAATTGTATTTGTTTTGTCTTTTATAGATCTTGGAAGGAAGCAGGAACACTGGTCTTTGCTGAGTGGTTACTCGATGCATAGAATCTGACACCTGCTAGGAAGTATCTCATTAAGCTGATTGGACTCTAAAAAAGTTCCCTTATGACAAACAGCCTATATTCCTTTGGCCTTCCAGAAGTTCAAAGATAACATTTTGCTGTATCAGATATTATTTAGTTACTATCACATGAAGGCCCCCTGCCCATAGACAGAAAGCACAGGGGCCTGCATTTTTATTACCAACCTCTGCCCCTGGGGAAGGGGTGGTTATATGCTGTTAGTAAAAATTATTTTGATACTTTAGGTTGCTAATATGTTTTCTGATATGTGTTTCAGTATAACGGGTGTTTGTGGAAGGGAGGAAAATTAAAGCTGGAAAAGGCGAAAGAACATTATATTGACCGGTTGAAACAAGAATGGGCAGAAGATGCTGAACTTGTAAATAGTGAAAATATTGATTCCAGTCTAAATGATCTTGATGAAAATGTGGCTGGTTCTCTAGAGCCCAAGAGCACCCTTGATTCTGAAAAGATGCAGATCCGGATGTTCTTTCCCAAACTAAGGAAGGTAATGCATTACCTTATGTAAAATTGTGTTGAGTTAGGTAATTATGGCATGCACCCCCCCCCCCCCCCACCAAAAGCTGTGTTTAATAGATATTGTGTCCATGTATGTTGGCCTGTTGGATACTTCAGTACAGTCTTTCCTTTTGAGCATCATATTTTCTGAATGCAGGTGAAAGCATTACCTTTTCGTGGAACTGGTAAACACAAATACAGTTTCCAGCGTGTTGCAGTACCACCTCTTCCAGTTCATTTCTGTGATTGCCCAGAGCATTATGTTGACATACAAAGTGACAAGATGAATGACAGAGATATGACAAATCCAGTGATGAACAAGCTTCTGAACAAGGGAACTTCTCTGAAATCTGGATGTGCTCAGCCCATAAGAGGAATGCAAGTACGTGATACGATAATACAAGATGATGGCCTGAATGAAGAAGAGATTACTGTCATGAATTCTGTGATGAAAAAACTCTTAGATAGGGAGAGTGCCAAAACTGAGAGAAGGGACCGTCATAATACTCCACAGATTGCTGCCCCAACTGTTGAGTCGCAAGAGGATAATAACGAAATAGATGAAGAAACAGATGATGATGATGATGATATTAAAATCAATACGGGGGCTGGACAAGATTTTGGACCAGAAAGTTGGGAGCTACAAACAAGCCTGCTTAATAAGGTGTGATTTTTGTTTTATGTGATTTGAAATAGTTAAGTTTTATAACAAATCTCTGTTTGACTTAGTTTTGATGACTCGTGATGCAGATGGCGAGGTCAAATGAGACTTCTATTGAACCTTCCAAAAGTAAGCTTGGTACGCAGATTATAAAGGAAAAACTTTCCAACAAGAAAAGGAAATCAGTTTCCAATGAAAGCAATAAAAAGGATCCTGCATCTCCTATCCATGGAAAAAAGGCCCGTTTTCAAACTCAAATAATGGACTCAGAGGAGCATTCGGAATTGATAAGTGTAACAGGGTCCAATACCAATAAATCAATTATAAGTGGCATGCCGACTCAGAAGGCTTCATGGAAAAAACTGATTGGTGAAGGCAGTAGCAGATCGTTCTACTTGTCACAGGCTACACCTGGTGGTGGGACTAAGATTGATGAACAGCCTATATCTGGTGGAGAAACATCAACCGACCGCAAGAAACACAAAAGGAATCATGATGTTGTGAATGAAGAGCATAAACCTAGCAATACGATACTTTCTGTGAACAAAGAACTTGAAAGGGTCAGCAACTCTGTGCCTGAAAACGTGGATGACGAGACTAACATTGATGAACAGCCTATGTCCGGTGGAGAAGCGTCAACTGACAGCAAGAAACACAAGAGGGATATTGATGTTGTGAATGAAGAGCATAAACCTAGTAATTTAATATTATCTGTCAACAAAGAACCTGAAACGGTCAGCTGCGCTGTGCCTGAAAACAAGGATGGCCTAGCTTCCCAGTCAAAAGAAGCTACAGAGGGACACCAGGCAGCTCAACCGGCCGGAGCAAGTGCAAGTTTAAATATAGCAACTAGAGGCAGTACTTGGCTGCAAAAATCATCTTGGAGTCAGCTTGTAGGCGGTGAAAAGAGTAGCTCCTTCAGCATTTCACAAATCTTGCCAAAAGATCTACTTGAGAAGCAACAGTCAAACAAACCAAATAATAATGGCACTGCAAACAACTTTTTTAGTAGTGTAACTGCTTTTGGTGGCAGTAGAAGATCAAGGTCTGGCGTAGATGGGGAAGATAATAAAAAAGAAGCCCAAAAAATTGCTGGTACAGGTATTCATCCTAGTACAACTCCAAAGGCAAATGATTGCTCTGATGTAACTACTGCCAAGAAGTCTGATTCAGAGGTGAAGGTGTCCAATCCACGTCCGGGAGTTCGAATCAGTGAAACTTGCCCTTTTATGAGTAGTGCTGAATCATTGAAAGACTGGCAAACTGCTAAAACAACACTTACTAGCTCCCATAAAAAGAGAAACAACAACAAACAGGGTTTTGCATAGTAACTTTCGTCTATTTTTGGTTTCATGAATTGTCATTACCTATACTTTTATAGTTGGGATCAATCAGTATCTCAAACTTTTTTCACTAGACTAGTATTATTGTGCAAATTCCATGTAGCAATTTTGCAGAGAATGCTATCGTCTATTTTCTTGATGGGTTGTGAATTTTTGTATCTTTGGGTGAGAAATGAAAGACCTGATTTCCTTTTATAGTTCTGTCTTCTGTGTATCATTGAATTAACAATTGGGGAGATTATATAGGGATTTAGTTTTGATGAAATTTACTGCGGCTATTGCAGGTCTGCTGACTGCTGAGTTCCTGAGTCTTGACCTGATATCTTTTGACGGTGTCTGAACATATCAACATAATACAGTACAGTATCATTTCTGGAATCAGGTGTTTTTAAGACTTGTATTTATGTTCAAAACCTCCCCAATTCTTTCAGTTGTTCGGTTTACAAAGGCGTGCTACTTCAAGTCTTCAACTACAGCTTTCTAAGATCTAACAGAGTATCACAGTCCACCAAAGCAGCTAAGCAATTCACCCAAAATCTGGAGTTTACAGAGTACTTCAACTCAACATATCAAATTATCAATCACATTCTTGCAGTCTGAAGCAATAATTAACTCGTTGCAGGCTTTCACACCCTGCAGTCTCTAGATCTGTCCTTCCTAAAAGAACAAGGTGCATACAGCTTACTTTTCTATTTTGGTATTCGAGATCCAATCTCTTTTCCAATCCCTATTAACACTTGTATTACCTCCGTTTTTATTAGTTGACACGTTTTGACTTTAACACTATTCACACACCTCCCTTTGACCATGTTTTGTGATTTATATATAAGAAAAAACATAGTCAAGTGATATCTTGTTAGATTTGTCACAATTTCAGCAATGTCAAACGAACCCTTAATGATTTAATTTGTGTATTGGCAAACGTGAATAAAGAAACGTGTCAACTAAAAAGAAGCGGAGTAAGTATATACTTGTATTAATTTAAATACAAATGGAAAAAAGTAAAATCTAAAAAGGATATATATGGAGCAATTAAATTAGGCTCGTTGAGCCTTGCCTTTGCAAAAAAAAAAAAAAAATGGAGCAATTAAATTTGTGTAATGAATTTCATAAAATGCTAACATACAATAAAAATAACAGAAAAAATGTGATATTTCTGTACTTGATCAATCTATATCAATTGTGATTATGTAATAAATGACGATAAATAGAAAATGATTGAGTCATTGAAATTATCTTTTAACATGAAATCGGTGTCATTATTAGATAAAAGTATTTTTAGCCTAATTAAAAGGTGATTAACTATTTAAAACCCAAATTCCCGCGTTAAAATCTTTAGTTAACAACAAAGAGAGGGAGAGATATGGGGTAAGAGAGAGAAAAAAGAGGCAAAGATATTTATTTCTTTTTCTTTGTTTCTTTTATTTACTCTCTTCCTTCTCTCTAAAGAGAGAGAGGTGGGGATGAATTCATCATTGGATGATATGTAGCCGCTGCCGGTTAACTGTACCGCGGCGGCGATTGATAAGGACAAGCATAGTCAATATGCCGTGAAATGGGCAATTGATCATCTTTTGTCTAGCACCCATTTCCTCATCTTGATCCATGTCAAGCAGAAAAACCGTAGGTATTCTTTTTTTTTTTCTTTTTTTCGGGGTACATGATTGATGTCGAATGTGATAAGATTTGAGCGTTCAATTAAAGATATTAGTGGTTAAAAGTATGTAGGGTCGTGTTACTTTCCTTGAATATTCGTGTTACAGAAAGTAGTGATGTTGACATCATTAGAAACACTGTGATGTGTGAAAGTTAAAGCAACACGTAATTTTTTATGACCAAAGATTTTGGTCGTACCAAACAAAGTACTTTGTATACTCATACATTTCGCATGTTTTTTTTTCTTTGTTTTGGATCTTGGTTGCTTGTAGCCAGTGGAATTGATGGACCTATGGAGGGCATTGAATCCGATCCACAAAGTATATTCATACCATATCGTGGATTTTGTGCTCGAAAATCGGTATTTACTTGACACTTTAATGTATCGTTTTTTATTTAGTTGCACGCCTTTTTAAAAATGAAAACGTACTAATAGTTAAATTTCGTAAGGCATTGACATAAAAGATATACGTTATTAATGAGCTTATTATCAGGTACAAGTAAGAGAGGTTGTTCTAGAAGATTCCGACGTAGCTAAAGCTATTCTGGACTATATAAACAACTACATCACTAACATTGTTATGGGCGCATCTTCACGAAATGCTCTTAAGAAGTTAGTTTTACGTACTTTCTTTTTACATATAAATTGAAGCTCTAGTACGTGTACTCGGAAACAAGTAAGAATTTATACTAACGTACGAGCCTAGCTTAGTTCGATTGATCTCAAGACTTTGTTGTTGCTAATTACAGAACCTTTAAAAAGGCTGATGTACCAAGTCATGTGACCAAATATGCACCAGAGTTTTGTTCTGTTTACGTGATTGCTAAGTCGAAATTGTCCAATTTACGATCTGCTCAACGTCCTTTTGGAAATACTCCATCTTCGCCTAAGCTTCCATCTTCATCACTCGGATATCAGCTTTTAGCTGAACATCCTCCTATAGATGATTTGAACACGAGGTAATAAATAAATCGTTCATCAATACACATTTATGTCGTTTTGTTTTTAACTGGTTAAAATAAGTACTCCCTCTGTTCCTTTTTGTAATGTACGTGCCTAAGGCATCATGTTCTTCTTTATTCAACAGGATCTTCCTAGACGGAAGCTCGAAATGGGTCAAAGTTACACCATGTTGCTGTAATCCTCCCAAAATATCCGAAATAAGAATTTCGGACACATTAACCAATTCTGGAAGACCATATTACAAGTGTAGATTTTGTGGATACTTTGCCTGGATGAATGAGGATGATATAGTCCGGTCGGCCGAGGAAGTGGTTGCGGAGCAAAGGATGATTGTCATTGTAAAGGAAACATTGGATGAATTTGTTAAGTACATTAAAATTGTTGTCAAGGTTGCTGTGATAATGTACTTTGTTCATTTCGTTTTTGTTGTATCAATGTGATGTATGTACGTACCTACTCCATAATTCGTTTATACTTCCTTGAAATTGTACTCACTTGATGGATTTTCCTGATCAATGTATAAAAATGAAGAAATTACAATATTGCTTCCATTTGTTTTTTGAAATCAGCATAACACGAAATTATAAACAAGAAATAAATCGAGAAAGCAATTAAACTGGCATGAAAAGTATTAAGTTATGAATTGAGACCCATAAATGCATCCCCAAGCCTCTTCATCGACTCTTCGAGGTCACACTCTTATCTCTCCTACTCGACTACCACCACTCTCACCCCAAATGCAAACACGGTCAAAATACGACATCTTTAAATCGAACCCAAAATTTGGTTTAACCGTGTCTATTCGCTCCCCGGTTCCCAAAAATCACAAACAAGCCCTTTCCACCCCAAATTGGAATGCTGTGAATATAGTGCTTTAATTGAAACGGGGGCTTGGGAATTGGTTCCTAGACCTACGGGGATGAATATTGTTAATTGTATGTGGTTGTTTCATCATAAATTGAATGCTAATGGTGATCTTGAACGACACAAAGCACGTTTGGTTTGTGATAGGTCGAAGGCGTTGATTGTGATGAAACTTTCAGTCCGGCTATTAAGCCGACCACTATTCGAATTGTTTCAAGCCTGGCTATGGCTCGTAAGTGGTCAATTCACCAACTCGGTTGTGAAAAATGCATTTTTGCATGGTGATTTGAATGAGTGTTTGTACATGCATCAACCTCCTAGGATTGTTGACAAGAGGTTCCCGGTCATGTTTGCAGGCTTCGAAAGGCTCTGTATGGCCTAGAACAAGCTCCAAGCGCTTGGTATCAGCGATCTGCTAACTTTCTTTTGCAGATGGGTTTATCATTGCCAAGATGGACAATTCTTTATTCATTTTCAGACATGGGAATGCTATGGCATATTTGTTATAATATGCTGATGATATTGTGTTGGTTACATCTTCTGATCAGTTACATGGTCGCATCATCTTTCACTTACGTACTGGATTTCCTATGACTGATTTAGGTCATCTGAATTTTTTTTGGGTATTGATGTCATTCATACTCCTTAATATATGCTTCTGTCTCAGCAGAAGTATGCTCAGAAAATTTTAGAGCACGCAGGAATGGGTAGTTGCAAGCCTGCAGCGACTCCGGTGGATACTCTCCAAGCTCAATGCAGAGACTGGTCCAAAATTCAAAGATCCAACACTTTAACACAGTCTCGCAGGTGCATTACAGTACCTAACTTTATTCATTCACGCACGATCCCAGAGAGGCTCATTACAATGCATTGAAACGCATCTTGCGATATACTCAGGGCACCATTGATCACGGGTTACATTTATATCCTTCATCTCCTACAAACTTGATTACTTATACTGATGCAGATTGGGGCGGGTGTCTGGACACTCGTCGATCGACCTCGGGTTATTGTTGCTTTCTAGGGGAAAATCTCGTTTCCTGGTCTTCTAAGCGTTAGCCTACTCTTTCAAATCAAGTGCAGAGGCAGAATACAGGGGCGTCGCAAATGTTGTCGTCGAGGCATGTTGGATTCGAAATTTACTTTTGGAGTTACATCATCCTCTTCGCCAGGCCACCGTTGTTTATTGTGATGATGTCAGTGCAATCTATTTATCTCATAATCTCGTACATCACTAACGTACCAAGCACATCGAAATGAATATTCATTTCATTTCGTTCGAGAAAAGGTGGCGTTAGGGCATGTACGATTTGCACATTCCTTCATGTTATCAGTTTGCAGACATTTTCATGAAAGACCTACCTCGACAACTATTTTTGGAATTCAGATTCAGTCTCAGCGTCCGTCCTCCTCCCTATGACTGTTGGAGTGTGTTAAAATATAATAAATATTCTAGATATTATTCAGTATAGAAGGATATAGCAGTTTTGTGAAAATTTTGGAAATATCTTTTGAGATTTCCTAACGTGATTAGGACTCATCATTGTAACCCTATATATATATATGATTAATGGTATACACTCCAACTCAAGGAGTTTTATATTATCTTACAAAGAGTAATAAGTATATACTCTATAAATCCGTTAAAAAAAAAGAGTATATACTCAGGGCCGTCTTCGTCAATTTGATGGCCCTGTTTTAACTATTAAAATTGGGCCCTTCAATTTTTAGAGGACTATTTTAAAAGGTTAAAAATATCATTATTATAAAATGGCTTTAGTACAGTACTACAAATTATTATAGAGCTTAAATATTCATATTACTAAGTTTAATAGTAATTCAATAAAATAACAAACAAAAACTTTTTATTTAAAAAGTATCCTTTTAATATTTTTTGAAGCAAAATCCTTAATTAAATCTTCATAATCAAAGATGAATTTTTAGGTTTTTGTTGAAACCCATTGTAGCCCACTTATGAGTGTCCCACATTGGAGAAAGAGGAGAGATGATTTCACTTTATAAGGTAGAGGAGTACCTCCTACTATTGTCAATTGGTTTTAGTATGGAAGCTCCAAAGCCTAGTTTGTGGACCAAACTCTCCTCCTCCTTGTTCGGGTTACCCAGGCCCATTTCATATTGTTTCGAAATTTAACAGTTTTAGTTTGGAAATGGTGGTCTTTTACGAGGAATAAGGTGAATATGTAAGGTTATAGTTTTTATTTTTCTAAATTATGGGCTCCTAATTTTTTGGGCCCTGTTCTGTGTTACATGTGTGAGAAAAAACATGTCTAAAGACAAGCTTGTATATACTCTGTAAATTCTGACTGCCACTCACACTGATTCAACAATGGAGGACGTCGGGGATGTAATTCAAACTCGCCTTTGTATAATCAGGTCTGGGCCGGCGGCCCATACCGCAGCAATCTACGCATCACGGCCCAACTCAAGCCCATTCTCTTTGAAGGGTGCATGGCCAATGGGGTCGCACCAGGGGACGACGAAGACGAGTGTGAAGGGTGTTTTTGCTGCTGATGATGCGCAGGATAGCAAGTATAGGCAGGCTATCACGGCTGTTGGCACAGGTTAGCGTTCTACTTCTTCCTTTACGAATTACTCACAACAAAGGGATATTATTTGTGAGACATAAAATATTCCTTTGTTGCGAGTAATATGTAACGGAGGGAGTATTTTATTTGGTTGGTTTGTTTTAATATTGTCCTGTATTTTGCAGCTACTTAAACGACAATGGTGTAATAATTTAATTTCATAGTTGCAATGTTGTGTTTTGTTGCCAAAGCTCATACGTCTGTGTTTTGCAATTTCGTATGGGTGCAAATTGTCGTATACTCATATTGCACTTCTGTTATACAAACTCAACAATTAAATCCAAAATATACTCAAAGTTATACAATTTATTTGCCTAATCATTTTATTTTTATTTTGGCTAGAGCTCAAAAGCTAGGTTGCACTTACACCATTAAAAAAAACTTTTACAAAAATAAAATATATAGAGAAAATTAAAAGTTAGTTAAGATTCCGAATTTCTCGCGCCAAAATCTTATGTTAGAAAGAGAAAACAACTCAAGAAGAAAGGAAATTAGCTTTATGGGGTAAGAGAGAGAAAGAGAAGAAAAACACCCTCAAAGTTTTTCTCTCTATCTCTCTCTTCCATTCTCCATTATTTTGGTTTTCTCTCTCCTCAAAAGAAGAGAAATTGCTACAATCTGTTTTCTGTTCTCAGAGGCATTTCAACAAACAGTTGGTGGGCATGTCTATATCGGAAGATTTAGCGCCGCTGCCCATCAACTGTACTGCGGTGGCTATTGATAAGGATAAGCATAGCCAATACGCGGTTAAATGGGCAATTGATCATCTTTTGTCTGGCAATCATTTCCTCATTTTGATCCATGTTAAGCAGAGAAATCGTAGGTATCCATCCCTCTCTTTTTAATTTTTCAGAAATATGATATAATATGAAATATTATAAAATGATATGATATTGGAATTCAATTATAAACTTACCCTTTTTGCTGATTTTGGTTTTGCTGGGAATTATTGAAATAATAAAGTTTCTAATTTTCGCGTGATTGTCTTTGTTTTCAGATGGTGGTGGGTTATTTGAGGTAGGCACAGGGGGAATTGAATCTGATCCAACGCATATTTTCATTCCTTATCGTGGATTTTGTGCTCGTAAATCGGTAATTACTTGACACAGCTTATATATTAGATAGCCAGTAATGGTTGTTCTGATATATTGTTCATAGAATTGTATGTAACATAGTTATTGAGATGTGTATAGTTCACCTCAATAAGTTTGAAAGTTTGCGATATTATCATTATTCTTATGTCATTTAAGGTGTAGGTTTGGTGTGGAATTGATAGATTTGGCACAAGGGAGATCAGAGCTATCTGTATATTTTTGGGGATTATGTGTGAAGCAATGCTCTTTAATGATTTCGACTCTCTTTGTTTCATAATGTATGCCGGCCTATAACATTTTTTGTACAAACAAAATGCAAAATTCATTTGTTCTTGTTTCTCCTTATTAGCATTTAGTTTAATGTTGAAAGGTCTTCAAGTCAAATGACCATCTTTGTAGATTTGTTATTTCTTATATCCGTGGTCTATGTAGTGAAACGCCATATAGGCATATAGCATGGTGTATATGTAAAATTCATGTTTCCATCCTATTGACTATTTTGTTATCATTGTTTATGTGGTGTTTACGTATATATATATATAAATATATATAAATATATATATATATATATATATATATATATATATAGAAAAATGAAGTATCTTTTTGGGAAACATAGCATTGTGGATAGGCACCTAATAAGTGTGATAACACTTACCACATTGGATCTATTTGTTTCAAGTTACTACAAAGTAATACTCATGATTGCATGTTTCTTGTGTAAAGACATAGTGATAATTATATCTTCATGGAGAAGTTATGTTGCAGAACATGCTTAATGAAAATAACCTAGATATAATTATGTGTATTTCAAGCTGATAATGCTTGATATTTAGTCTTCTAGTTTATAAGTTAGTAGGAGAGAATTTATACGGAAGTGTACTTGCTTGTGAAAAAATTCTGGTTATCAAGTGACTTTTTAGCTGTCACAGTTGATAATTTGTGGGATTCAAATAGATTATTGAGAAATCATTATCATTTGCTATTACCAGGTTCAAGTGCGAGAGGTTGTTCTTGAAGATGCTGACATAGCTAGGGCTATCCTGGACTATGTGAACTGCAACTTCATCACTAACATTGTTATTGGTGCATCTTCAAGAAATGTTGTTGCAAAGTTAGTCATATTTCCTGTCTCTTTTAAAAGAAGCAAAATAATGTTTGACAAGCCTAGTTCCTGAAACTATATTGTTGCTATTTACAGAACATTTAAAAAGCCTGATGTGCCAAGCTATGTGACCAAATGTGCACCAGATTTCTGTTCTGTGTATGTCATTGCAAAGTCAAAAGTTCTGAGTGTCCGATCAGCACAGCGTCCTGTTGCAAATACTCCCACTCCTCCAAAGCTTCCATCTCTTGGATTGCCACATCAATTTTCATTGGAACAGGCACTTGCTGACGACTTCAGCTTAAGGTAATTTGTATTTGCTATTATTATTAGTTATACGTTGAAGAATTACGTTTTGCATTGACATCTCTAATTTTCTTTGCCAGTATTCAAGACATTGTATATCAACATTTGCATTTCTAGGCTCTAAATCTAAATGGTGAAGACATTGTATATATAGTCTTAAGCTACGTCTTATGAATTTATGATAGCTAGAACTTCATATTAAATTATAAAAGAGAATTGCAGTGTATTGTAAGCTTACAATTTCTTCAAAATCCCCTGAAACCACAGAACTGTTCCACAATTTACAAATTATGAATAGCTCCGAATCGCAAAAAATATGGTCTGATACTCTAATGCAATTATATTAACATCTAACATCCTAACCTTTATAAGAGGGTCTTTTTATGGTTTTTTCCTAATATGCTTTGTTCATGTAATCTTTTTAAGAAGGTCTGATAAAATTGTTTTCTTCATTGAGAACAGATCACCTTCTTACCGAGGATCACTTAACTCCAATGGTTCTGATAGAAAATCTTGGGATAGAAGCAATGAAGGCGGCAGGGCTGGACGACGGGCGTCTGTGTTGGGAAGTGCTTGGAAGGGGTCATCATCAATGGAAAATATTGACATTAATGTTGGAACATCCAACCACCGCAATTCCTTATCTGATGATGCTGATAATATTGACCACTCATTCCATAATATGCTTGAAGTGCCTGCCAAGGACTCAGACTTTTCGTTTGTTGGCGGTCCTCCAAGAAAGGATCACACTCACTCACCAGTAAGTAATATGTTGTAATATAAATAATTGTTCAGTAACATGTATTAATGAAATTGTGGTGGGTGATATGTTGCAGAATGATCTAGAGGCAGAAATGAGACGATTAAGGCTTGAGTTAAAACAAACAATGGATATGTACAGCTCAGCTTGCAAAGAAGCAATCACTGCAAAGCAGAAGGTGATAGCTGGTCCTTTGGTCTTGTATGTAATATTGTGGTGCTACAGAAATGTTGGAATTTTATAATTTGTTTTTGGTAATTGTTCAGGCTAAAGAGCTTAATGATTGGAAGATGGAGGAAATTCGAAAATTTGAGCAAACACGTAGTTCTAAAGAGTCTGCTCATGCAGTTGTTGAGATGGAGAAGGCTAAGTGTAGAGCTGCTATAGAAGCTGCTGAAGCGGCACAGAGGTTAGCTGAGAAAGAAGCACAGAAAAGAAAGCTTGCAGAAAATAAGGCCAAGCAAGAAGCAGATGAGAAAAATAAGGCATTAAATGCATTGGCTCATAATGATGTTAGGTACAGAAAATACACCATTGATGAGATAGGAATCGCAACTGATAACTTTTCTCCACAAAATAAAGTCGGTGAAGGTGGGTATGGACCCGTTTATCAAGGTAGACTGGATCATACTCCTGTTGCCATTAAAGTATTAAGACCAGATGCTGCACAAGGAAGGAAGCAGTTCCAACAGGAGGTAAAACAATTCTAATCTAATTTCTCTTTTACACTAAAATGTATGGACTATGAGTAGAGGTGGTTATTGGACAGGGTAACCCAATGATAATAGGGTCAGGGCCAAGCTTATAGGGCTTTTAATGGACAGGGCTATTAATGGACAGGGCCCTTATTGGGTAGGGTCAATATAGGGCCAACATGTTTTTCCAATTTAGTTGATAAAGAAAATACATAATGTAAAAATAATTATATATATTAATTTGTATTCATATGTATTTAATAATGACTTTGTCCAATATTTATTTTAATTAATATTTTGTAGGCCCGTCCATTATCGACCTGCGACCCGCATTGGCCCGACCCTATATCGACCCTATAAAATGTGACCCTCTTTGACCCTGACCCACAACCAACCCGCACCAACCCTGACCCGACCCGCCCAATAACCAGGTCTAACTATGAGTATTAAAATCATTTCTTATTAGTATCATTATGCTAAATTTGTACAAGATATCCATAGGAGGCTTGCCAAGGGAAGCCTATCAATCCTAGTTGCTCTCGTCTTTGTACTGTAATTGACTATTGATTTGCATGTCCAATCATTAGGCTAGTGTTGTGTATCTTCAGCTCGACCACACCTCATCATATATATCGTGACTTGGTAGATGTTATGATATGTGTAACCTGCGTGATTCTATAGTTTAATTAAGTTTTTACTTCATTATTCATCGTGTAAGGAAATTGGGGATTAAATTAGTCAGTGTAAGGCACGGTGTGTGTCCTAAAAATTTCCTTTATAACTATTTTTGTGAATCATGGAATTTTAGTGATCCAATAATATTAGCATAATAAAACCACAATTTGCTAGATTGTGTATGCTCAAATTAGTTTCTTTAATCTACTTTCCAACTTGATGGCAGGTTGAGGTACTAAGCTGCATGCGACATCCCCATATGGTTCTTCTCCTAGGAGCATGCCCTGAGTATGGTTGCTTGGTTTATGAATACATGAACAATGGAAGCCTGGAGGACAGGCTCCTCCGAAAAGGTGGGACCGTTCCTATTTCCTGGAGAATCCGATTCAAAATAGCAGCTGAGATTGCAATTGCCCTTACATTTCTCCACCAGGCGAAACCAGAACCCCTTGTGCATCGTGATCTAAAGCCAGCAAATATCCTCTTAGACAAAAATTATGTGAGCAAAATCAGTGATGTTGGTCTAGCAAGATTGGTTCCGCCTTCTGTGGCAAATAGTGTCACACAATATCACATGACTTCTGCTGCAGGAACTTTCTGTTACATTGATCCTGAGTATCAACAGACAGGAATGTTGACCACCAAATCTGATGTATATTCTTTGGGCATTATGTTGCTTCAGATAATTACCGCAAAACCTGCAATGGGTCTCAGTCACCATGTTCAACGAGCCATCGATACTGGAACCCTTGCTGATATGCTGGACCCAAATGTGACTGACTGGCCGATTGATGAAGCTATCTCATTTGCAAAATTGGCCTTAAAATGTTCTGAACTTAGGAAACGGGACCGCCCAGATCTTGCTACTGTTGTATTGCCAGAACTCATTCGACTGAAAGATTTTGGGATGACTGAAGACCCAAACAATTTCTACGCTTACAAGCCAAGAATTCACAACTCAGTTCCACGCCCAAGATCAACAGGCAGGAGTGGCAAAATCCCGTCGTCAAGTTCACATCATCGATCATCAAATTCTAGCCAGGTAATTAGCTACTCCATCTACCCCTTAATATTATTCACACTTCCTTAGTATGAATGTCCCATATTGTTTCTTTTTTGTAAATATCTAATTCTAATTCGAAGTATATTTCTTGTTCGCAAAATTTTCTTAAGGGAATAAATCTCAACTGATGTCTTTTCCTCTCTCCCTAAAGAATGCCACATGCATGCTCTGCTATCTATTTTTGAATGCTTCATCTATCACATGTAATGCTCAACACCTGGCCACCTCTGCCTATACTCCAGCCTTTAGGAAGGGAAAGACTCGAGGGAGAATACATAGAATATTCTCCTCCTAGGCTTAGGATATATTTTGTAATGTTACACAAAGTATAAGGATTCAATAGGTAATATTTGCTCGAAGTCATGTACTATCTTATTATCCATGTCAATCGACATTGTGGATAGGCAAGAAAGGACTTTAAATGAAAAGTATTGATGATTTGCTAAATGTTATAATGTTGATGTTTGATCAGGGGTCATCACAGACCTTGTCTTGGACGCCATCACAGGGCTCAGATGAAACTTCTCTAGAAAGCGTATAAAAGCAGGCCACTTCGGCCTGGTTTCAAACTGGTGAAATCATTATATCAATTATCTTTACAAGATGAACATTGATATTATATTTATCATGTTTCTTTTGAAGATGTAGATCCTGTAAATGAAATACAAAGCATTATGTACATGGGGTTCTTCTTGTAAAGTACCATGCTTCTGAAGTGAAGGAGAATGAATAGTTTTTTGTTTCATTTTCTGCATAAAATCCTGCTCATCTTTGCTTTCGATCTTTCATAGGATGTGTTCAACTTCAACTCTATTGAGCTTTAACAAAATATTTATAAGACATCAGGAACAGCATGATCATAATTATCGAAGGGTGGCGGTGGGAATGGGAGTGGGAGTGGGAGGAAGGGGGCTTAGAGCCTTTTGCTCTTGTGTAAACTATGTAATTAGCAATGAACACAATTGTTTTCTTCAGATGATTTAATTTAATTTCTTCCAGCATTTTGGTGTCCATAAACCAGTCAGGGGAAAAAATTGCAGTTTTGGTTCTGTTATTGGCTAAAGAATTTACTCCCAATTTCTTGAAATTAATAGTCACCTATACTAACTTAAGATGCTAAGAGAAGTGTCACATTTTCTGATGTAATATCGGTTAATGATTGGAAATCTTTCTAGTTTTTTGTCTTTTGTTTCTGCTACAATTATAATGAAGTGCAGTGATTCATAAATAATAAAAATAACACAACTAGGATTATTATTATATAAGGATTTTTTATTTTTTATTTCCTTTCGCTAAATCATTTCATATCCTTAATTATGAGGAGTTGGGAGCTAAATCATTTCATATCCTTAATTATGAGGAGTTGGGATGATATGACAACAAATCCAGCAGACATAAGAGGAATATGCAATACTTAATGCTGTTTTAAATCTTTCAATTATTTGGTTAAGGCTTTAATATATTTTTGTAATTCTATTCTGGGAGCAAACAAAAGCCCAAAAAGCTGCATCAGAATAAGGTTTTATGCTGAGTTCTTGGGATTTTAACTTCTGTGCGCAAGAAAAGTATAATTAAAGCTCGAAGAAAGCATAAAAAGTTGAATGTTGAGGCAATATTGTGGGGAAAAGAATAGCCTTAAGCCCTTAATACTACACACGTTGCATAACTTTGCCTAATATTGTAAATGTATCATGAGTAAAAGAATAAATAACACTCCAATTGTATAAGGTGGCCGAAAAAAAATATATACGCGTACACCAAGTCAGCAATACAACCTTCTCATAACCCTTATAAATTAACCTTATTTTATCGATAGAAAATGATTTGAGAGTAATTTTTTCGATATGTTAAAGGTATGATGGTTGCACCACATCAAATATATGGGCTTTGGGTTTGTGTTAATACATTTTCACCACAACGAAGTAGTATGTTTTGCTTATCCTATAATGCTATATAGCTTGTCATTTTTCCTTTGAAAACTAACCTGATAACTTTAGGTTTTTGAAAGATTCTACTTGAAATTTGAGCTTAAAACACATATATACCTTAATACAAACACATTCCTTAATACAGGCAAGTTTCATACACATCAAAAGCCAAAAAGAGCAGACAAATATACCTTACCTTTCTTACAAGAAGCATCCAAAGTTAAGTTCCAACTTTATAAAGCACCACTCACGCTTGATAAACACCTTAAGTTCACTACCATTTATTCTACTACTGCCTTTCTTACATTTCTTATGCCTTAGAAAACCATGAAATTTATGAAGTTAGCCATAATATTGGCACTTATACTTGCTACAAATGTATCATGTCAAGAACAAAATACAATGCCACTTCCACAAGGCTCACCAACAGCTATTGCAGGGCAACTCTGCATAAGTGAGTGTGGCACTTGCCCTGTCATATGCTCCTCTTCACCACCGCCTTCACAAACACCGTCACCCCCGGCCCCCCCAGCCGTCCTCACACCACTAAACCCTTTATCACCATCATCCACACCAAAGACTCCCCATTCACCACCACCACCGGAAACCATCCAACCACTCCTGCCACCACCGCCGCAACTTCCACCACTACTGCCAATACTCCCACCATCCTCTGGAGGCTACCTGCCACCACCGTCTCCCAAGGTGTCACACCCACCACCATCTCCACCACCACCACCGCCACCACCACCGTCATCCTCAGGTGGTTTGCCGAAGAGTAAAAAACCTCCTAGTGAATCCAGCCCACCAGTTTCATTTCCTTTGGTGATAAATCCAGCTGGTCCATCACCTCCTAACCCATACTACTACTTCTATGAGTCTAATGCTGCATTTTCATCACTTCCTTTGCCAATTTACTTCTCTATTGTTGTATTAATTGCTGTTGATGTATTATTTCTTGTCTAGTATGATTAGTAAAATTGATCAAAGGAATACATGGTTTTGTATTAATTTTCCACTTTGTTTTTCACTTACAAGATGTTTTATTTAGCACTAATTTTTGGATTTTGTACAATGCAAGTTATGTAACAGCAGATTTAGACATGAAGTGAATGAGTGATAAACTACTTTTATGTTCCCTTTTTCCACAAATTTTTTGTTACAATGTTTCAAACTCTCAACTTAGCCTAGTCAAAGAATTTGATATGATTTTACTTTTTTTTTTTTTTTTTGGGGGGTAATGATGGCCTCTCATTCTTTAATCTCATCATCACTTGTATTAAAGTTATTGTGGCATATTAGAGATGAAGCTAAGTTACAAAAGTATAAAAATACGAGTGAAAGATTAGAAATAATAAAAACGCTCCAAGGTGGCCGAAAAAACATATTCCACTTTCATACACAACAAAAGCCAACAATATGAGGCAAATATATCTTACCATTCTTACAAGAAGCATATAAATTAAGTTCCAACTTTATTAAGTACCACTCACACGCTTGTTACCTGTCCAAAGCCACCACCCCCGGCCCCCACAATCGTCCTCACACCACTAAACCCACCATCGCCGAAAACCTTCCAACCACTCTAGCTACCTTCACCGCAACTTCCACCACTACTCCCACCATATCCTCTGGACGTTACCTGTCACCACCGTCACCCAAGGTGCCACACCCACCACCATCTAGCTTTATTTCATGATGCAATCAGTTTAGAAAATTTAATAGCTGTAAAAAAAAGAGCAATGCACCAGCCGGGAATCGAACCTGGGTCTGTGCCGTGGCAGGGTACTATTCTACCACTAGACCACTGGTGCTATTTTGATAATGATACTTTGCTTTTATTATAAAACTAAACAACATTGAAAGTCTAAGCATGAAATATTATTTTCTTACATGACGGTGACTACAATGGAAAAAGAGGGGGGGGGGGGTGGGTGGTTTCTTAAAATGTCACATGACCTTTTTTTACATTATTTAAATTCAGACTTATTTTATTTTAACAATATACAAAATATAAGTATAATTTTCACTTTTCTAGCTAAATATTGTGAACTCAAAACCAAAAGGGTTGGTCTACAAGTTTAGATGTATAACTAAGTCCAATTCATAAATTATTAATAATTTCAGCCATTTTTGAGGTAGAATTAACACATATACCTAACAATTTTTTACTCTCATTTATAGTAGTACTTTCTACGCTGATAGTTGTATAATACATTCATAATTAGGGTTTTAGCATAGGTTGGTTAGTTTCCTACTTTCCTATAAATCTTCATTTTGACTATGTCAAACTTCAAAACAAACGATGTTATTTTAACCGAAGATTGTAAAAACACCTTTTCTCAACAAATATTTATGTTTGTATATTCGTTCTACCGGCATTATGGTGGCACACTAACCAATATAAATAATAATGGCTTTGCCACTTGATACGCTTATGATCAGCAAGATGATAAATTGGGCCTCACTTAATTATTTCTAATCTTTTGAAGGGTTTGCGATCCAGCCTCAACTAAAGATGATAGTAGAGCAAATAGATCTGTGACACAGCCCAGCACGACAAACACATGAGTACATGGAAAAACATTGTAAATTAAGTAAAAAATAGTTTAGAATCGCAATAATATCACAACACAACAACATAAGTAGACTTGATGAGAAAATGATCTCAAATGACTTTAAGTTTTTATTTCATTCTCAAATAGCAATAATAATTTCTGGATAATCTCATTACAAAAGGAGCTGAGATTGATCTTATTACACAAAAATCATTTGGGGGTCAACTTTGTCTAACATCACATGCTCAAATCCTTAATTACATGGCTTCACGTGAGGCCAAGGGGGTTGGGATAGAGGTATAAAATTAAGAATCGTAGCTGGTAAGAGTAGAACCTTGAAATTATAGATGACAAGCAAGGTGAGCTTGGGTGCAAATACCCCCCTCTAAGCTACCATGTCTGATCCATATCCGGTCTTTTTTTTTCCCTAAATCCTTCACCATGGCGAATAAATATCCAACATTCATATATGTCTAAGTAATACATGTTTAGATCTATGCCCACTCCATCACTTTAGTGCGTATCCACTAGCCACTTTATACCCATGCATTCCCCTCACATATATCACCCACCTAGGCACCTAGCTATTATTGGTATATACACACTTAAGAAGAATGATTCCCCCCCACCAAGGACGGATCCAGAATTTATTTATAGACCGGGCCGAAGTTATAAAGTATTTCAATTCATAAAGCCACCACATGAAGAAAAATAAAAGTGCAAATAAGGGGAATTGAACCCTTGACCATCCATATCTATACATCAAGTAACTAACCAACTATTAAACCAACTACAAACTTATATATTTTACACAAGATTTTTTATTTATATGTATCAAAATCTAGGCATAGGGGGGCCAAGGCCCAGGTAGGCTCCCTAGATCCGCCTATGCCCCCCACATATGATCCATGGCAGATATAACTTTGATATCTATATTCATCCACTATGGCACTATCTAAAAAAATTTATACCTACCCATACTCCTCTAACAAGGCGAGTACAATGTAAATTTACAATAATGTATCCACTAGTCATCCAGCCTCATCCTTAAGCTATGTTTAGTTCATCCAATTTTTTGCTTTTCTAATATGAACTTTTATTTTATATTTTTTTTTTAAAACCATATGACCTTTACAATAATTTTATTGTACATCGAACATTTTGCGAAAAGTGACCCCTTTTTTTGTACAAAAGTGACCCTTTTTCTTCACAAAAGTGCTCCATATTTTCACAAAAGTGACCCTTTTTTTTTTACATAAAAATAAGGAAAATTTGACATTTGCTACTAGCGAAAGCACCTTGTATCACATTTGCTACCCTTTTAATTTTTTATTTTACTTTACTACCAATCAAATTCCCTAACTATACTTTCACTACCAGAGTACCAAATAACGGTTTCTGTTAATGTTGCCGTTAAGTGGGGCCTAATTTATCTATCACCACACCAATTTATTAACCTACACCACACTAACCACTCAACAACGCTAGCTCCCCTGCCCCCAACTCCTCATGCAAACTCGTCACTAACCCTTGTCAACTGCACCTCCAGCATCACCACCATTCACACCATCACCGACATCTTGTTGCTGCCAGCCACCAGCGCTGCCACAAGCGTCGTCACAAACTCGTCAAAAACCAATTGTTGCTGCCAGCCACCAGCGCTGCTACCTTGAAACGCCCAAGCCTGCCGCCCCAAAACCCCTCACTCTCACCTTGCCGCAACCGCAGCTCCTTGCTGCCATCTACCGCGCACCACCGATCATCACCAAACTCCCCTGCTTCTTCAATATCACCGCATCCCCACAACAACTACCTGCAATCACCCTTTCACACACTCCCACCAAAAATACCCCACAATCACCGCCCAAGTCGCAGCTGCTCCCCCTGTAAACCGCAGACCTGATCCCGCCGCAACAACCACCATTCGCTGCCCGAAACCAACGCAAGAAAACCACCTTTTGCCTTAGCACAAGGGGATAATCTAATCAATTCCTCACTATTCCCTAGATCGAATTCCAAGAGAAATCAATATTTGAGAGATTTTCTGGACAACAAGCCCAGATTTTCCAACCCTAGTAAAGATGATTGAACCCTTTGAATTGAGCAAAATTTGGGTGAATTTTAGGGTTTGTGAGAGATCTAAGTGTTGGAAGAAGTAATTTAGGTAACTTTGTTGGGATTTGAACAAATTTAAGAGGGTGACCGGTCGCCGGCAAGGGAAGGGGCTGGTCGGTCGCCGGCAAGGGGAGGGGGTGGCAGTGAGGTTTCGGGGCAAGGTTGATGAAGGTTGGATGGTGGCAGTGAGGTGGAAGTGAGGTGGCTGAACAGTAGTTAGGCCCCACAAACGGAAACAATAACGGCGTAAGACAACAGGTAGTAATATCTATAATTTTGGGATTTGTGTGGTAGTAAAGTCAAATAAAAAATTTAATGGGTAGCAAATGTGACACAAGGTGTTTTCGCTGGTAGGAAATGTCAAATTTTCCTAAAAATAACCCTTTTTCACAATAGTGATTTTGTTTTTTCACAAAAGTGACCCTATTTTTTCCACAAAAGTTACCCTTTTTTCATAAAAGTGACCTATATGCAAACAAAAAGTATCTAAATTAACGAAACAAACACAAAAATTAACAATAGTCATGAAAAAACTATACAATCACTCAAACAAATCAAAAGTCACCGCCGGAACCACCGTTAACAACGCCGATTGCGTTGAAACCATTGTTGATTCCACCATTTCCGACCATCTCACCAAGCAAAGCGACGAAAAATTTACAAAAAAAAAATACAAATACTAACCTAGAGCAGAAACATCAACATCATCGATTATCACCAGAAACTAGAGGAGAGAGAAAAACAAAAGAAGATGAAAAGATGAGAAGTAGAGGAGAGAGAAAAGACAAAAGAATATGAGAACTAGACGAGAGAGAAAAAACAGAGAAAAAGAAGATTGAAGAAGCAATTGGTCTTGTATGGACCCGGTTTACAATAAATTATTGTAGACCCAAAATTTGACACTTTCAAATAATATAATCACATTCTGGATGATATAATCACATTTTTAGATGATATAATTATCTTTTTGTGTGTCATATTTTGAATTATATAATCTCATATTAAACTATTTAATGAGATTATATAATTATCTCTAGGATGATAAAATTTAAAAATCATGTTTTAAAATAATGTAATTTACTATTTGATACTTTAATTTTTATAACGATAAATTCACTTTTTGAGTTATACATTTACATAACAGCTTCAAAATGATATAATCACTTTTGTAGTAATATAATCACATCTTGTATGATGTAATCACATTCGTATTGTATACAAGAAGGTTGGGTCTACAATAAGTTATTGTAGACTGGGTCTATTCTAGTCTTTGTATTGAAGAAGATAGAGAAT